CAGGGCTTCACTGAAGTTGCCACATGGTTGTAGGAATGTTTTCTGGGGCAGACCAAACTCACGCAGGTAGCTAGAGCCGCACACTCCTGGGGCTCTGCCTAACTCAAGCTGACCCCTGTCCTCACTGGGGAGGCCACCACCTTAAGAGTAGGTGTCTGCCTCCTGGCCTGCCCTGCCCCTGCCCAGCTCTGGATGTGACCAGTGGCCAGACTGGGGTGGTGTAGCTCTCAGGCCACCAAGCAGCTTCTGTGAGCAGGTGACATAGAAGTTTGGAGCCCCAGAGAATAAAGTCACTGCACCTGGTCAGGACAGCTGAGGGCCCTTAAGACTCACAGCCTGTCATGTATTTGAGAGAATTGTTTTTAATTTTAATTCTTCAAGCCCAGGCACGGAGTGTGCCAACACCCATTGATACCCAAAGCGATGATATTAACCTGCCAGCCCGAACTTTGCTAATAACTCCCACTGCTTCCTGGCAGACGCAAGCCAGGAAAACCAGCCGACCTGAGAGTTTGTCATGCTGGGTAATTACTGTGTGATGGCACTCATCTCAGAATGATTTAGTGACTAGTGAAGAAGAGAGGGGTAATGCTGAAGCTTACATCAAAGGCACAAATTGGGAAGATTAGGTGGAATTATTGGAGTTCTTTCTAGGGCATATTAGGCTCACAGGGAATTGGAAGGTGGGTTGGTTCTGTCTAATCCCTTCAATGAACAACTCTGTGCCTATGGCCCTAGCCTGTGTTCCCAGGTGCCCTTCCTTCCCCTCACTACTCTCTGACTGTGACTTCAACTCAGGTTCTCTGGCTACAGAATAAACCCTCCACCCCTGGAGATGAGGAAGGAGCCTTATTTCCAGATGCTGTTGCCAATACATAAATGGGAAGAGAGTGAGGTTTCTAAAAGGAAATGACAAGGGCCAGGGACTTTTGCTGCTGTTGTTGAAATTTTCTGCTTTCAGCGAGAATGCACCCCCATCGCCCCTCCGGGAACCTGACCAGGTCCTACGCAGCGAGATGCCATCTTCTCCTTGGCTGAACACAAGCTCATCCTGAGTAATATATGTTTGTATGGATCTTTGTCTTATCTGTTTCTTCCTGCTCAGTAGGTCAGAGATGGTGAATGCATCAGGACTTTGCTTTTAATTTTTTATCTTTGGACTGTCTGGTCACAGGACTGGGAGTTTGAAACCCCTGCAAGAGCCCAAGACCCACCTTAGAAACTGATTTTTCATCATTTTGATGTGAATGTTACTTTCTTGAGTTTTGGTGGCTGAAGCAAATGTGGTCACTGGGGGTGGGAAGATCAATGTTAGTTTCACCAGGAGCTGGACAGGGTCCACCACCACACATGGACCCTGCTTCCAACGAGGAGGCCTCTCTCCCCCTTCCTTTCCTATTTTCTTCCTGCTTTCTCTCTACCCCTTCTCCTTCCCTTCCCTCTCATCCTGTGTTTACTAAGGGCTTATTATGGGCTTACTCCTCAACCTGAAGACACTATGCGAGGATGGATGCTCTTCCCTGGCTTGTGGGGACGTGTCTCTCTAAGGTCTCTCCTAACTGTGTCTTAAACCCAGCCCTCTACCCCTTGCTCCTTCAGCAGTAGCTGGAATATTGAGAAGTTAAAGCAAATGTATTCTGGTGAAGAATACAGATTCTACCTTCAACTCATTATTAGCAGACATATCAGAGATGTCAAATTTGGACAATTCCCATGGGAACATCTTTGTGAGAAATATTTGGAAAGACACAGGCAAAACTGCGATGTGAGTTAATTTGTTAGGCCAGAGCCCTGACGTGCAGGCTGAAGGGCTGTTACCTCTAGCTCTGGATAAGGCTGAACAATGCAGGGCCCCACCTCTCTGCATTCTTCACAGCTCAGGTGGGGCCTCCACGTCACTCACTGTATTGCACCGAAGTTGCCTTCTTAAACAGGGAGTTGGTAGACTTGATAATGTGCTGTTTCCACAGATATTTTACTACAATGAGTTGTAATAAAAATGTATGATGAGAATCAGGGCTGGCTCATGAGCAAACTCAGAGCAAAAGCTTTCCTTAGTCACTATCTTTTGAAACAAGAGGTCTTATTGTAGCTTTGCATGAGATTTACTACACCTGAGTTTTCTTAATTTGTAACCTCTATCCCAACGGAAGGATCTCTAATAGCTGCGGCCACTGTGGACTGAAGGGAGATGGAAGATTACATTTCTCATGAAAGGTAGTAAAATAAACATTTTTATAGTACTTTATCATGTTCAAGTGAGGTGTTTTTCCTTTCTGCCCCAAGTCACTGAATAATATGTCAGGTACTTGGGTCCCTGTACTGGTGTTTTAGGATTGTTACACTTGTGCTTTTGTGGGTATCGAGCAGGAAAGTGAGCCCAGGAAAGGTGGCAGTGTTGATGGTCCACGGCTGGTAACCACCCGAGTTTTCCAGGTGAGGGCGTCTATCCTTTGGGCTTCACTCAGAGTAGGAAAGAGAGGCCTTCAGCCCCTACAGCAGGGACATTTGACAACAACCAGCAGCAGTGGCAAAAAATAAACACATTCCATTACCTGGATTGGCAGAGGAAAGGGACCATGCAGAGTCGGGCCTACGTCTGGAAGGCCTGTCCAAACCAAGCTTTCTTTCACACCCAGTTCTGTCAACTTGCTCTTTCCAGACAGCTGGCCTGTGCATCCTGGACGCCAGTCTGTGGCAGGAGTCTTGCATTCCAGGCGGCCGCCGTATGTGGCCAGAGCAGTGCTGCCAAGCTGCAGGGCTGGACCCCCACCCCAAGCTCGGGGCTCCAGGGGCAGCATGAGGATGAGTTTTTGCAGCATTTCCAGTTGATGAGCAGGTAGTTCTACAAACGTGCAGAGCCCCCTCAGTTTGCCTAGTTTAGCTTCTTAGGAAAGTCCATTGAGAGGCCTTTATAACAGGGACAGTTGTCATTAAGAACATTTATATGATCTCTTGCCTGTTTTTTGCTATTGTTTTGTTTTTTTAGTAAGTGATCGTGCCTCACCAAATGCTGACGAGGCCAAGGGCCTGACCCAGCTTTTGTAAAAAATAAAAATTAAGGTCCTGAATCACTGCACTAATACTTGGACAGATAAGTTGACTTCCATGTGCTTCTCAAAGGCTAATTTTTTCTAAAGCTGAGTTACCTGCCATCAGCCTCCTTCATTACTACAGATTAACGTCACTGCTTGCAAGAGGTGCTTACTTTCCTGCTTGATACCCACAAAAGGGCAGCTGTAACAATCCTGAAACACCAGTACAGAGACCCAACTACCTGACATATTATTCAGTGATTTGTGACAGAAAGGAAAAACACCTCACTGGAACATGATAAAATACTATAAAAATGTGCATTTTACTACACATTTAACTACTGGAGAAATAATTATACATTTTACCTGGCTGATTTTTACTTGTACTTAATGATTTTACCTTTAAAGAAGATATATGAAAATGAGGTGAGAATATACAACATTCTCCATGAACCAAACCTAAGAGATTAAATTTTGCCCCAAGTGAAATAGCTAAATTCAGTGGATTTTAATTACTTTTGTCCCCATGGGCTTCTTTTCCCCTTAATTTCTTGTTTTCCCCTTAGGTTACAATGATTAATTTGCAAGTTGAGTCCCATACTATCCACGAAACTAAGCAGCATATATGACAGGCAGGGTAATCAGGTGCCACCTTCTGACTGAGTGGGCTAAGAAAGGGTTTTTCCAGCATCAGCTTGTCGGCATGCTGGAATGAGGGTCACCTGCAGTCACACCTCAGCTCTGCTGGGCCTCTGGCAGGGGCTCCCTCACTCTCTGTGAACCCATGATTCTAATGGAATCATCAGAATCCATGTTTCTTGTAAAGGCAGGCTGCTAGGCATCTTGTGAGGCAGGACCCATGCACTATTTTTCATTCCCAAGTTGTTCAGAAGTCATATTTTCTTGACTCTGAAAATAACAGCAGCTCATGAACACATTTTTACAAGGCAGCAATAACTTACCAGAATATATTTTTTTCTTGAGTGAATCCCAAGGCCTTGGAAATCACCCCTCCCAGCCCACCACATTTTCTTTATATTGCTTTCTCTAATAGCTCTTTTGGCACTGAAATTCTAAACCTAAAGCTTAACACTCAACCAGCATAAGCAACATTCTTAAGGAAAGCCGCCTTAATGTTGGCTTACACATGGAATGGAAATGGCTTCTGTTATCCATCCTTTAAAAAATTTCTAGTGCTCAGCCTCCATGAAATGGATTGCTTATGGGGAGATAATGCCTGTTCTATTCCTTTTTAAGTCTGTGAAAAATGTCATCCTGGTTAATAGGGTGATTAAAACTCTTTATGCTCCAGGAGATAAATGTGATTATGTTTGTCATACTCTACCCAAGATAAAGACAGCAAAGAAGGCGAACTTGGAAATTCCATAACATTTTCTCTCTTCCATATCCAGGAACATTCAGAACTCAATACACAGATGGTACTTCACATAAAGAATAATATTATCTGTTAAACATTTTTCCTTCCCATTAACCAATTTAACAATATGCCTCTGGTATAAAAGGAATAGACAAATGACTAAATCTGATATCTGAGTTCTGACAGTAGAAAAACACCACTTTGGTCATACTGCTTGTCTCCCTTTCAACTTCCTTCTTTGTTGCTTCATTTTTGCTTTTAAAATGCAACTGGAGTCCATGCTTGATATCTGTTCGAGGGAACCTGGCCCCATCAACCTTCTCTCACCAGGTGATTCATGATCATTCTTATGGGAGAATCATGCCATCCCTCAGGACAACAGATACATATGAAAAAAGTTCTGTAAACATTAGGCATGCCACACAAATGTGTATCCACACAATCATTCCTTCAGGCCTCCTGTGCACCAGGCCCTGTGCAAACAGAGTGGACACCCCATTCCCCTGGACTCAGCCTAGTAACATGGACAACATCCTCCTCGGTTGGCTCCTGCCTCTCCTGACATCATTTCATTCAAAGGCTAGAAATCTTTGCTTAGCAGAGATTTACTTAAATGTGAAAGACAGGTAAAGAGTTTTTGCTATTCCACATACTCTGATAAATTCCACAATCCTTTCTTTTTGTCTTGGATTTTTAACAGAATCCCAGATGCTGATTACACCTATTTAATTAATTTAACAATACAACAATTTTAACAGGCTAACATGGTTCAGAGAAAAATGTTATATTAGGCACTTGACATTTCATTTAAAAATTTTCCCTAGAACTAAAAGGTTTCATTATAACAGGTAAGTTTCAACTATACTTTATTAAACTGGATTGCTAGAGACTGAGCAATTATAAAGAAATTACACAACTGATATTCAACCAGACGTTATTTTTGTGGACATATTAAGATATTTTTAATATCCAGTAAAAAAATTGCATGTAGACATTACTGTCTGTTTTCTCTAAGAGAACATGGAGGACAGGGAAAGGTGGGGTGTGTATTTAAGAATTTACCAGTAGTAGTTTCATCAGGGAGGCAGTACTATATACCTAATATTGAGACTCAATACTCAGATAGCTTTCCGGTTAAAAATATTTTTTAAGATAGATGATAATTGGGTTATTTTTACACTGACAACTGAAACAAAATTACAAATTCTGTCAATGTTTAGGGACCCAGAACCATCTTCTCAAAAAAGTACATTTTATACCATAGTATTATTTCAGCATGACTGTACCTTTTCAAGTTATCATAATATCATAATCTGTTGTTAGTTCCTGTATACATATAGCAATTTACAGGGCCTTAAAGGGAGGTCATCAGGGAAAAACAAGCAGATGCAAATCAGACTGCATTCAGGACACAGAGCCACACCCACTATCTGACGTACAGGATTTACTCAATCACCTGACATTTTGAGTCTGCCTAATAGGAGCAAGTCTTCTAAATTCTGACAATCACATACACGTAATGCTGTTGAAACTAATTTCATCAGACATACTGAGGTACTATGGCTATTAGGAATCCGTTTATTAAGATTTTCCATCATAAGTTATTATAAATTTTTTTCAGGTTCACAACTTGGTTTCAACTGTTATAGTCCTTAACAGAAGTATTTCCCCCAGGATCTTGTCTACATAGAAAAACTATCCATATAGTTATCTTTAAATAGTCTTCCTAACTTTGAGGAAACTCTACCCTGCCCGTAAAGCACACACACATAAGCCCACATCAGTTGAGGTGCAGCACAGACAGTCAGTCTCCTGTGAGGACACCCAGCAGCATCCATCCTGTGATTCAGTCAGCAACCTGCACAATCTGCTCCTGAGGAGAAATCAGGGGAGTCCCTCTGCCATTGTAGCATCTCCAAAGCCACCCTTTCTGTAACAATCATTTTGGCCTTCATCCACCATGCTCATCTCATTTGGATTTCAATGCTTCCTCCCACTCAACAGCTGATTCAGAGTTCTTGGGAATTGCTGGAAATACTGACTGCATTTTACTTCGGAAGTCTTTCATCTGAACAAAGAAAAAAAAATCAGTCATCCAATGTTAGAAGGAGAGGAGAAGAGCCAAAGCAATCAGGGATGGACGCCACTGCTAACTGGACGATACTTCAGCGCTGGTGAGGACAGAACAAAGAAAGAGCAGGAAAAGGTAAAGACTGTGTTTAGCTACCTCAAAAGATTACATGCACCTCTTTTCTTCTCCCAAGTGTATATCTTTTGGGTCTTAAATAAAACACTCTGAGTCTGGAAGGCAACATGCTCTAAATTGTCAAACCTCAATCTTTATTCCCTACCAGAAGAACAGTATATTTGTTGGCTTTCATATATAAAGATGCAGCTGAGAAAGATTTTTGTCTCTCTGAGTAAATGAATATATTGAGGCTATTCAAAGTTAGAATTTTGGAGCCAGAAGGAAGGAGTGGAGAGAAGGAGAGAAGAAACTCCTTCCCCACAGGAAAGAAGAGTAGAGAAAACAATAATGAGTCAATGAATGGCAGATAAACTAGAATGTTTTTCTGTGCCAGACAGTGTTGAGAAATCAGTGCAGAGATTTTACCTGCCGAGGTAGATTTGGAATCTTAGGAGTCAGGGACTGGAGGATCTTAATACATAGTGTCAAGCAGAAGCTTGGCCCCACCTAAGGTGTTGTATCACCCTATGGGAAGGGAACACTAATTTATGGGAATTAGGTAATCTTTACAGTAGACAGTACTGGCTACACACTCATTGGTTCATTCTTTTGTCTGGATGGTCCTGCTATGAAGTTACTATTTCAGAAGCACTACAGCATCACAATTTTCTCATCAGCCATACACAAGTCATTTCTTATGAGTGGTTATTTTGAGTCACCTATTATTATTTTATGTTGATGCTCATTTATTGCAATTTGAAGCTGAATCCTTACCTTGTTGCCAAATTTGGGGGGTGCATTTTGTTTGGGGCTTGTAAATTCTCAGACACTTACTACAGTCATTGTGACACTGCTATTCGCAGGACACTCTGGTATCAGGTAGACCTCTGTTCAAATCCTAGCTCCACTCCTTGAGAAAGCTGCTTACCCTTTTCTAGGCAGTAGTTTCCATGTGTGTACAGTGGAGACAAATTACCTGCTGACAGGGTTGTGAGGAGTGAGATGATGCCTATGAAGCACAGCACCTAACACTGGGTGCTCGATATATATTAGCTACAGTCATTACAGCACCAAAATATGTGTTGTGTTCCAAGAACAAAGCTTGTATGAACACTATGGTATGTTTGTTAAAAGCATTACTTTATGATATATATCATTTTGGTTTAAATATTTTGACACTGGAAGATACTAAGGTTACCCATTACATTAGTCTGTAGGAGGTCCACGTCAACCATCTCAACGTTTGGGTCCCAACACCAATCTTGAAGACACACATGTACATGGCATATGTGTCTCTCCAACCCCCTCTTCCCTGTAGCTCTCTAGTTTGTACTGTGTTGAACCCTTCGTGAGAGGTTTTCAACTAGAGGCAGTACTGCATCCCTCCCTGGTGAGGGACCAGAAATGTAGTTCCAAATAGCAGGTTTCAAATAGCGTGTCATGACAACTTGGTTGTCACAATCACAGGAGACTACTATTTGCATTTGATGGAGGAGGGTGGGCATGGATTCTAAATGTCGAGAACGACCCACAATAATTTGTTCAAAACGTCTAGAATGACCCACATGATTTGTCCAAAATACCAACAGTGTCCCTGCTGAGGAGCCTTGCATAGACTTTCTCAGCTGATCAGGCCAGTTTGCAGTGTGCTGTCTGGTGCCTTCCCTTCACCTTTCTGATTGAACATGTAACGACTAAGCCTAATGACAGTGTTTTCACATGGGGAGTCAGAAATCCAGGACATGAAAAGAATCATTTACCATCCCACCTCCTCAGGATGCGGAATGTGGTCTGTAGCTGAGAAGCGAGAGGGTGGGAGACACAGAGGAGCCTGGGAAGGACAGGAAAGGTGGCCACTCTGCTTCAGCACAGGGGAGGTGTTCCCACTTCCTCCTCTTGGCCCGACTTTTTTCTTTCCTCTCATTTCCCAAGTATTGCATTCTTTACTTGTTCCTAGGGTCATAAGCAACTGAACCATTAGCAGGAATCATAGCTGAAACAGCCAACTAGGAAGAGGCAGGCTCCGGAGCGATGTGAAGGAAGGGAGGCAAGTGGGAGAAAGAACACTTTCACCTTCTTTAATTTTACAGCTGTGAAAATAGAAGTCTACAATGGTCTACGTTTAAGTTACAAAAAGGGCCTCAAATTGCTTTAAACAATAGTGTTCCATAGAAGGTTTTTAAGCTTGTACAATTTATATGGATAGTAAATGAAAACCTTCAGTTTTGTTTACTGTATCATTTCTGATATGTAATTCAGAGGTGTTGGTCTTACCAGTGATACCCCATCACAGGCCAACAGAACATCACCCTGCTTTAAAATGTGCCCTGACAAGAGTTAGGAGTTAAGCAAATTTGGTTGTAAAATAAATGTACTGAATTCCACAGTAACAATCACAGCTATTGCCCTAGAACCACGCCCCTACCATTCTGCCCCAAGAGTGTAAAGATGAGGCATGTTGAGCACTTGTGTCTCTATCCACCAACTGTTTTACTCTGAAGCACTTTCTAAACTCTAGGGATCTCTTTCCTGCAGTCTCTGTCTTCTCTTTCCTCTGCCCAGGGAGAGGGCTTTCCTGGCTTTAGGTCACACAGCCAAAGCAGGACCTTTGAGGTACCTACCCTTCTAAGCAGGACCCCTGAGTACTGCACAACTCCAGGGGCTGCTCTCCACAGAGACAACACACAGATGGCACTCCCTAACAACGAGCCCACTGCTCCAAGAACCTCATCCTTAAGTCCCAATGTCTGTGTCTAACAGTGCCAGGCTGTAGTAGTATCAGAAAGTCCTACCATTTTAGGCAGCAGTTCTTAAACCGAGTGTCATGACAACTGGGAAATGTATTACAAGTACTTTTTCATTAATATGGACATTCTGAAGATTGGACATGATTGACCTTTTAGCTATGAGAAGAGATTCAAGATCATGTCTCTTATAACGTTGCTCTCATTCACAATGCAACAGCTTTTTGAGGGGACATATAGTCAGTATGCCAGGAGTGAAACATGGATGCTGCTGCATGTTTATCTCAAATGTCTTAGCAGGGAAAAAACAATAGATTGGACATGATTGACCTTTTAGCTATGAGAAGAGATTCAAGATCATGTCTCTTATAACGTTGCTCTCATTCACAATGCAACAGCTTTTTGAGGGGACATATAGTCAGTATGCCAGGAGTGAAACATGGATGCTGCTGCATGTTTATCTCAAATGTCTTAGCAGGGAAAAAACAACAAGAAAACTTCTGGTCTAATATATGGTGTGCTGAATACTTACTTAAAAGGTCAGGATATCCCCCTCCCAATTTAATTAGAGAAAACCCTTAGAGCATCTACTCTAAAAAATAGGCAGTTATTGGAATTCAAATCCAAGTTTTAAAATATCTTTGCCATTGACTAGCTCATTTAGCTTCAATTAACTCACACAGGACTGCTGCCAACCTCAGTGCTAGAGCTAGAATGGTGAGAAAGCTATCCGATATGTCAACAATTACAGTGCCAATCGAATTCTGAAGAACCTGGAAATTCAGCTTCCTCATAAAACAGAATGAGACTATAAATGTTGTCTGAACAGGAATAATAATGCCTGTCACTTGAGATCACCTATGTGCCAGGCACTGTACCAAGCACTAGGCTATTTATTTAGTCTTTGTAATTCTATGTGGCAGAAATGAGGACCACCATTTACATATGAGAAACCAAAGGTCAGAGAGATTAACCCATCCATGGTGACGTGGTCTGTAGTATACAAATGCCTGACTGATGTGCCTTCCCCATTGCCACTCTGGTTCTGTGACCTACAAAGCATGGTACCTCTATAACGTCTACTCATGCACCAGCTTTCACTAAAAATGACTTTAAAAGCATAAAATATATACCTCTTGCAATGGCAACCATTTTATTTAGAATGGTATGGCAGATTATTGCCAATGTTCGCCAATAGCCAGGACTCATCTACCTCTGGATACAGGTTGGGTTATACTTCTTCACCCTTGTGAAGTCAGGTAACCACATAACTAGTTCTGGCTAATGAAATGTGAGCAAAAGCAATGCGCATCACTTCCAGGGTGAAGCGTTTAACTGCAGGCCTCTTTCCTTTCTAAGGCGGTCACAGAAGCCTGTGTTGCTACAATGGTACCTCAAGGTCAAAGCTACCTGAGGTATGAAGCCAGCTTCTGGAGGACAGCTTCCCTAGAGTAAAGTAAACCTACGGTGAATTTTACAAGAGAAATAAACCTTTGTTATTTTAAGCCACACATTTGGAGATTGGTTTTTCACTGGAGAATAACTCAGTCTATCCTGATAGAGATTGTGAAGAAAATTACAGGACATAAGGATGCTCTGATCCCCTTCAATATTATGTTAAATTTGGCTGAAACATAGCTGAATAAAAAGCCAAGGGTTGGACAAAGAGGAAGAACTCTGTGTAGTTAAGCTTAAAAAGCTCTTAGAACCACCTTTCTTCCCACTTTCAGCACATCAGTTAGTCCCAGTATATGACACTGCTCCCTGGGTAATCAGGACACTTCTAGATGTTTCCAATGAAATGGGATGGGAGCTCTAACCAGCATGGTTAAGGGTCATTTTCCGTGTGGATCACTGTCCTACATCAATTTGATAAGATTCAATAAGCAGGACTGGCTTAAATTAGAGAGCAGATGCTGGTATTTTTCAATTTTGATTAGGCCTGTTGATATCCACATGGATCCTGAGATACATTTGAACGTATTATTTAATATTCAATTGCATTAGGAAGGCCAATATGAATAAAAATATCTCAGCTCATTTTCTAAGTTATTAGTACTATCATTTAGGTAAAAGTCAATTATTTTCACTTTCTTCTAAACTCTCACTGTACCACATGCATAAACTCTAGAACCTGTAGTAAAGTTAATTTAGGCATAAAAAGTGATGTGTAACTTTTTAAGAAATACAATCCCTGAAGTAGTCATTAAAGTGGCCAATTTTTATTAACAGCAGGGCAGAATTCAAAAGCAAAAGCTTTCTGTTAATGTAAATGAAACAGCAACAGGGATGACCCCGGAACACCAGAGGACCAGGGCCCACTATCCGCTGCAAAGACAGCCCTGTAAGGAACAACTTCGAGGACACTTCTTGATTTAATGCTAAAAGGTCAGGTTCTCAGACGCAGTCCTAAGATGATTTCAGTCAGGCTTTATTTTCAGTAACTGGAAAATTCTGGGATATTTCCTTTTTCTACCAAATAAATGACAGTAACTGCCACCTCTGTCAGTCTCTTTCTAAAAGCTTTATATTTTACTGTTTTAAATACTTTATAACAGCTACCAACCAGATAACTATTATTTTCGTATTTCAACCTAATGATCCGGCTTCACTGGCCTGCATACAAGAGCACGTGTGCATGTCCAAGTGTGAGCGCATGCACACACACAGGATCTACTTGCAGCTCCATTTTATAGGGCCCAGGGACATAGACAGCTGATGGCTCCATTGCATAAAGTACTTCTGTGTGGGCAGTCATTTTTACATTGTAGAGGTTACAACTTTTGGAATAGTATATAATTAAACAGGCATTAAGGTAGCCAGAACAACAATTAACATGTACTTAATGAAAAAATTTCTATGACAATAAATACCTATATTCTATATGCTTTTGGACTAAATGGCAACTATACACACACACACACACACACGTATCAAACCCTGTGTGTGTGTGTGTGTGTGTGTGTGTGTGTGTGTGTGTGTGTGTGTGTGTATCAGGCAACTACTGGTACATCAGTGGTACAAAGACACTTCGATGCAGTCACTTAGGAATTGTTAAAAAAAAAAAAAAAGATCATCCAGCATCTGGATGCTAAATTCAAGAGCTGGGGGCTAAATAAACAAGGCAGTCACTCTATCCTCTTCTGTTTCCAACTTTTAGGAATTCAAGTTTTTTAAAGAATTTGACATACACAACCCCATAACTATAATCTCTTCTTCAATAATTTCAGAATGGTTGTTTTAAACAACTTTAAAGTTTGAGCTCCTTCTGAATTTCCCAAAGTGTTTCTGCACTCTTCTTCAGGCGAGCCTCTTCTTCAGGGGTCAGCTTCACTTTTATAAGGTCTGTAACACCGCTCTCTCCCAAGATACACGGCACACTGAGGAATACGTCTTCATTTATTCCGTAGAGACCCTTAATCATGGTGGAAACAGGATGCACTCTCCTAAGATTCTTTAAAATAGTTTCTGTTAAATCAGCTACAGATAGCCCAATGGCCCAAGAAGTATAACCTTTCACTTTAATAATCTCATAGGCGCTGGCAATCACGTCTTTATGGACATTCCCCCACCGCTCAGGATCTTTATCAGTTCCTATATCTGGGTTCAGATCCTTCAGAGGGACACCAGCGATGTTCACTCCACTCCACACAGGGACACTTGAGTCTCCATGCTCTCCAAGGATCCACCCGTGGCAGCTTTCAGAATGGATACCAAGCCTTTGCCCAATCAAGAAACGGAAGCGGGCAGTGTCCAGATTACAACCGCTTCCAGTGACACGGTTCTTAGGAAATTCACTCAACTTCCAGGCTATGTAAGTTAAGATATCCACAGGATTGGAAACGACAATCAGTTTGCAGCGAGGACTGTACTGGATAATACTGGAAATCATTGATTTAAAGATGGTTACATTTCGCTGGACTAAATTAAGGCGCGTTTCTCCCTTCTCCTGGCGTGCGCCTACTGTAATAATCACGACGGCGGAGTTGGCAGTGACGAGGTAGTCTTTGCTGGCAACAACATTTGGCATCCTGATGAAAGGACTGCCATGCTGCAGATCCATAGTCTCGCCCTTCAGTTTGCCTTCATCAACATCCACAAGGGCAAGCTCATCACTCAGGCCTTTTAACAGGACGCTAATGGCGCAGGCCATGCCAACCGACCCGGTGTCTATAATGGAGACCTTGTGGTGGTGAACGGCCTCCTCAGACGTGGCGTTCTTAACGAGCTCGTGCTTCACACTCACCATCGTGGCCACGGGGCTGCTGGGCTGGGCGCCCTCGGCAGAGGCGGCTGCCGGCTGCTGGGAACACGGCGCCCTCGCCACGCACAGGAAGTTCGCTCTCGCGGCGCCCACACTCCGGCTGGCCCGCAGGGCTCCCACGGCCCAGCCCATGGCCACTCACCCAAGAGATGCAGGAAGAGAATGGAGGAAAGCAGGCAGACGAGCTTTGAGGCGCGAAGAAATGGAGGGTGACCGCTGGGCGTCTCCTCAGTCTGCTACTGCGGCTGCGCAAGGCCGGGACCTCTGGAGGCCCCCAAGGCCCACCAGCGCGGCTGCGCAGGGCGGGCTCCGCGCACATGGCCTCACCAGATACTCCGCCAAGTACTCCTCACCCCTCCTCCGGGTGGGGTAGAAATGAATTACGGAGTTGAAGTTTTACATCTGATGAAATATATACCCTAATGTGCCAATAACTACAAAAGTCCAACTGAAGGTGGTGGCATATTCTCCCCACTTGTAAGCAGCACTGGACCATGTAATGATCCTCAAAGCTCTCCTCTCATTCTGAAAGCAATATGGTGACCCCTAATGGGGCTCGTGGTACATACCCCTTTCACAGCAAAAGAAAAGATTTCAGTTTCAGAATGCTGAATCTTGACCAAATGAGTATTTTATATTCAGGACTTGAAAAGGTACTCTAATTTTTATTGACACTGAAATGCAGTCTACAAAGAGAGGAAAAATAAGCAAAGGAGCTGGTAAAGTGTGGGAAAGTGTGGCAATTACTGAAGTTCCTGCAATGCGGTTTTAGTGTAACTTGGGACTTGCACAGGGACTCGACACCCTGTTTAGATGGTACAGTCACAAGCTCCATGACACAAAATGTAAGAGCAACACATACATCAGTCCTCTCCATGCTGGTGATCAGGTAACCATTTGTCAAACTGAAAACTGGAATTTTAAAAATGATTATTGGTGGATAATATCTTAAAGGGGTCCTATTAAAAGATGAACTTTTGACAGCTATCACTTCTTTTGTCCAAGTCACTACTGAAAAGTTTTAACCTAATGCCTGTCCCCACCTTCTCCCTATACTGATTCCTTTGACCAGTCATTTTCCAAGGTAAGTGTTCTTGAGGATGAAATTCAAGCACATAAACACTTAGACAGATAGCTTCTTTCTATAGTAATTTTCTTTCTAGAGTGTGAACCTCTTCAGAAATACCTTCTCTATGACAGCTGCCTCTTCATATTTTCTCTTTAGTCACAAGTAAATCAATTTTGAGAAAAATAACCCTCTCCAAAATAAAAATGCCTAAAAAAATAACTTTTTATTTATACTAAGTCTTCAGATAAGTAAAGAACTAAGAAAGACAAAGAGATGTCCCTGAGCTCCAGACCTTTATTCAGGTCTATTCAAAGATGTGGAGAGCCCAATTGAACTGGACATCTCCCTAGATACCTTCTATCTTAGGTGTCTCATTAATCATTCTGAATGGAAAACCTAATACCAATTATCTATTCAAAATACAATATAATATTATAGTTGATATCAGGATTATTCCATAACACTTTTGCTCACAGCACTCAGAAAATGATGACCAGCAAATTTCCGGACCAGGAATGGTTGCAACTAAGTCATTCTATTCCTTCCATTTGGACCCTCACCTCCAGGTCTCTCTGCCCTTCTTCCATTTAGGAGTCCAGTTCTCTCCTAAGTCTTCTACAAGCAGAATTGACTTTAAACAAATTCTGTGCTACTAGTATACTGTGCACCTCTCTGTTATAGGATTTATCACACACAATTAAATGTAATTTTTTATGAATTTGTTACTCCAAAGGGATCACTTTTTGTTTATCAGAATATTCCTAACCTCTAGAACAGAAGTTGGTACATAATATTTGTAAAAGAATGAGTAAATAACTATAGAATTCAGTTAAGCAAAGCTAAAGTGCTAGAACATTTCTTAGCAAGGTTGATGCACACATTTCAGAAAGCTATTGATAAGCTAAACGATTTCTCAAGTATTTTCAAAGACAATACCTACTATTATCAACTTAGATAAAAAAAATCTCTACAAGGTACAATCATATTATAACAAATACGTAATGGCAGAGAAAATATTTTCATCCTTTAAAACTATTTAAAGTTTTTGTTCTTTAGAAAGCTTTTAAAAAATAAACCACATGAAACCCTTGGTTTGAAAAAAAAAGGTGCAATGAAAGCAGTGTTCATTAATAACAGAAGCTACACTCACCAGTTTGCAAGTATAGCATCATATAAACAATTATTTTAAAGTCTTCTCTGATTTAAAATCATAAAATGCAAATTGGAATTTTAAAACAAATTAGTGGGCTGTGATTCTATTGCTTACAGACACTAAAATCCATATAATTTTTAAATCTTTGTGGGGGTCTTTACAAATCCTAGCACCTGAATGTATTCCCTTTGTCAGCAATCCTGGTGATGCTGAGAGAAGGGCAAAGGCAGGGCCACAAGCTTTGTCATGTAGAAAAAGGGTAGAAGGTCAATTCAAAAAGCAACACCGTGACAAACTTCCTATTTATGGCATTCAAATATTATATAAATTGGCAGGTTTTTCTAGTAAGTTATCCAAATCTCACTTTTGGTCTTTAAAGACAACAGCTTACATATACTTTTTGAGGCACTACAAAAGAACTGCATGTATTAATCATTCAAAAGGAAAAAAGAAATATTTTACTGAGGCACAAAACATGAGAAACAAAGAAATTAAAATTCATAAGTATGTGTTTAACCATCCCAAATCATATCTAAAAATTCAGCAAGTTTAATTCTATGGCCATAGGCTGTAACTGTGTAGGTGTTGTTCTATTAATTCAACCATTTACTCTCTCTGCTTGGATTAAGTAACAAATAATACTGTAGTCTCCAGAACTGCTTTATTCATCTAAAAAAAATGACATTAAGAATATGTTTGTGTATGGAAGTTACTTTTATAATCTCAAAACAGATTAATCCATGTTGTAAAGGTTAAAAACTGATTTGTCTTAAGACTCCATACAGGCAAAACAGCACAGGAGGAAAAGGAAGTTTTCCTGGGCAGGATTAGCAAGTACCAGGCTCAGAGGCTGAAGATCGTGGCCTCTCAGCATGGCTGGAACTCTGAGTGTGACAAAGGCCTATGCGAGAAACAGCTGGGCTCTCAAGTGTACCACTACTGACATTCTGGATCAGATCATTCTTTGCAGGGGCCTGTGCTGTGCGCTGTGGGAGATTTAGCCGCACCCCCGGCCTCTGTCCACTGGAGGCCAGTAGCACCTCTGCAGTTATGACAAGTGAACATGTCTCCAGACACTGCCAGAGAGCTTTCTTCTGGTGGAAGAGGAAATCAAACTGTCCCCATTGAGAACCAATGAGTTAAAGAATAAGTAGGAGACAGATCACAGAGGGACTTGAACCATTTCAAGGAACCTGTACTTTATTTTCACTGAAATGGCGGAAGCAGTGTGATCAGATTTCACCCAACAGGTGTTTACTAAATACCTCCTCTGTGCTAAGCCCTGTTACAGGTGCTGAGGATACAGCACAACAATGGAGAAGACAAATGAGGTATCTTTACATTCTTTTTGTGAAGACAGATAAAACAAGAAAATGGTCAATACAATTTCATTTTGCAATAGTGCTGCAAAGAAAAGAAAGCAGGATTATGTCAGAGAGGGCCTGGGTGGTGGGAGTAAAGACACTACTGTATTTTAGACCAGGTGGTCTGGGGAAGCTTCTCTGAAGAGGTGAAGTGAATTTGGGTTGGAATTCTGGATGCCAACACAGCAACATGATGTCCCGGGGAAGGAGATTTCACCCACAAAGCTAGAAAGCCCTCAGCAGGAACAAGCCTGGTGTGTTGAAGGTACCAGGCCAGCGGGGCATGGTGGCACCAGGCAGGGTTGGATTAGGGGGGGGTGGTGACTGCTGTGGTTCAAGATGAGGTCAATGAGGTGGGCAGGGCTACATCCTGGGAGACTTTTTCAACTGGAGCCACTGAAGAGTTTTAAAAAAGGGAGCAACGTGATCTGACTTACATCTTAAAATATCTCCTCTGGCTGCCATGTGGAGAAAAAATTCTAGGGCAAGTAAAGGAGAGGCTAGGATTCTAGATAGGAACTACTTCAGCCCGCTAGGCCAAAGATGAATGCCGGGCCAAGCCATGTCTGGCAGCACAGTAAGAGGCAGGACGTGCTCCCGGACTAGATGGAGGCAAGGAGGGGAAGTGAGAGGACCTAAGATGGTTCTGCTAGGTGCTGACTTGAACAACGGGGGGCCGGGGTGGCACTGACCGAAATGGGAGAGGCTGAGGGAGGAGCAGGCTGGGAGCATGTGAGGAAGCCAGGAGTTCTGCCGGACGTGAGTCACTGGTGTGCCTGCGAGACGTGCAAGTGAAGGTGTGCAACAAGCAGCTGCTGAAGGTCAGGCTGGGGCTGGGTTTTTGGACACAACCGTATTGTAAATTGCTTTAAAATGCAGGGACTGGAATGAGAGCACCAAGGGACCCAGGACAGGTGGAGGACAGAGTCTAAGTATGAGGGCACTGGACACTTAGAGGTCTGCCAAGGGAAAAGCTGGCCACAGAGATGGGCAAAATGGCCAGGGGGGTAAAAGGTGTCTCAGAAGCCACAGGTGGTGTTTCATGGAGGGGAGATTGTTCAATTGTGTCAAATGTTGCTGAGAGGTCAAATAACAAGGATAAAGTCAAGACTTTGATCTGGCAACTGGAGGGCACTGACCACCAGACACCAGTTTCAGGGGAGAGAAAGGGGAGGAAGAAGAGACCATGACCACAGAAAATCCTCCCAGGAAACCTTTTCTGTAAAGGGAAACAAATGGGCTGGTGGCTGGAGGAGGATGAGGACTACCAAGAGAGAGTTTTTAGAGGTGGGAAAAAGTATAGCATGTCTGTACATGGTGCGCCAGAGAGAAAAACTGACAATCAGCAAAGGCATAGAATAATTGCAGCAGCAAGGTCCTTGGGAAGACACCAGGGGTGGGACTGGATGCCCAAGTGGCAGGTACAGGCCTCTGGAAGCAGCAGGGACATTTCACGTGATCATCTTGAGGCGGGAAGGTGCCCCCAACTACTGTGGCCATGGGAGTGGGGGGCGGGAAGCAAGACTTGGCGACTGATTAGAAACAGGGGTGAGAAAGAGTGTGGTCTTGAATAGAACCCAGATTTTCTTTCTGGGCAACTCTGAGGATGCTGCTGCCATTCACTGTGAGGGACCCAGGAGTAGGTAGTGGGTTGCAGTAAATGACCGTTCAGGTGCGACATACAAGCATCAGTGTCAAGTGGGCCCAGAAGCAAGGAGCTCCACAGTCTGGGCCGGAGATGCAGACCTGGCCGCCTTCTGCATATGGAAGAAGACACGGGAGTGGATGGAACCCGTGAGGGAAAAAATACAGGGCAAAGGAAGGAGCCTAAGCAGAACTGTGGAAAACAAGGGCAGCAGCATTTCCGAAGTAAATGAGATAGTGGGAAGCCAAAAATAAGCCAGTTGAGGATTGAGAAAGATTACAAAGAGAACAGAAAACTATAAAAGCCCAGAATCTGCAAGCATAGAGGCAAATAGCTGATATATTTGAGTCATCAAGAAGAAGTGAAATTGTGTTCAGCATAATTTACATTGTGGAAAGATATATAACATATTTAGGAAAAGTATTTCTTCTTATAATTGTTAGAAATATTCCAGTCATGAAAATTAATTTTGAGAGAACACTTCATTTTCTGATATACTGATAAATGGGTAATGATATATGTATCAACATATACATATATTTTTTCATAGAGTTTTAGATATTTATAAATGACTAACCAATAATGGTACCTTTTAAAACAAAGCTTAAGGGCAACAGACTCACAGACTCCAAGAAGGGACTAACAGTTATCAAAGGGGAGGGGTGAGGGAAGGTGTGTGGGGAGGGAGAAGGGGATTGAGGGGCATTATGATTGGTGCACATGGTGTGGGGGTGTCACGGGGAAGACAGTGTAGCACAGAGAAGACAAGTAGTGACTCTGTGGCATCTTACTACGCTGCAATGACTGCAGTGGGGTGTGGGGAGGGACTTGATAATATGGGTGAATGTAGTAACCACAGTGTTGCTCATGTGAAGCCTTCATAAGAATATATATCAGTGATACCTTAATAAAATAAAATAAAAAAAGAATCATTAAAGGGAAGACAGTAAATAACTAAAAAAAAAAAAAACAAAAAACAAACCTAAGGGGAAAGCATACACTAAAAGGTCTTCATGACGCTTTAGAGAGATCTGCTCACGTGAGTCCAATTTTCTATGCTCAGTATAGGAAATAAGGGGGAAGAAAAAGGAAACCCAAGTGAAATCAGGATGCCTTCCCCAGTGGACGGCTGAGAACATTCTTGAGGTGATTACACCTGATCTGTGTCAGGCCTTGGAACAAGAGTGCTTTCATGGCAGAGCTTACCTTCTTGAGCAACTGCTACACATTCTGCCTTTATAAAATGCTTTGGGGCCATTTTGCTTATAAAAGGAAATCGGTGGGTTTTTTTT